CCTGCTCCCGGTTATTTCTTCCCAAATGAACTACGTATAGACAAGCCTTTGTCTTAGACTCTGCTCTCAGAGATTACCCAGCATACAACATTATCCCTAAGTACTGCCAGATTGCTCTCCAGAGAATCTGAGACCACATCTAGATAGTCTGCCCAATCTCCAGCTTGTGGATCAGAGACGAGGACATTTCAAAATTTCAGAGGGCCACCTTTTGACAAGAGGCTTTGTGTATGCTTAGAAGGCAGCTCCCTGTGTAGGATGTTTCACGTGTGAGTCAGTGGTTTTTCTTTTTACACTTACTGCAGTTATTTTCAAAATGTGGTTATAATATACATACATGCCTTGGTAATGATAATATACCTCTCCTAAACATTGATCTCTGCCCTCTCTCATGATTCAAAACTGCTGATGCATGGACAGTACACTCATCCATGGATGTGCCATAACAGAGTATTAAGAAAATTTGCTTCTCAATACTTGTTAATATGGAAACGTCATACCACCTGTATCTTCCAGTGAAGGGTGTTGCAGTCAACTTATGTCCTAGATAAGGATGCATTGTTCTTCTGTCACATTGTCACTTGGGTTTTCTTATGGGAAAAAAATGATCATTTCTTTGAGTGGACATGTATCAATATTAATTCTTTTGTGTGTGTGTGCCAGCTATCTGTATGGAGTGCATCACCATGAAAAGAGCACAGGTCATGACCACCTGGGAGCAGGGGATGAGAGGAACTTCTTTGAGGGAATGTATTTTCCTTCTCATTTGGGAACAGCTTTTAAAAATCTCATCATCTCCTTCTGCTTTTGTTGTGTGAACAGGTGGTTAACACATACACCCCAGGAAAGAAGATTTGGCTTGAAGGTGTGGTGACCACCTCAGTTGGAGGCACAAACAATCTGTCAGATTCCTATGCTGCAGGATTCTTGTGAGTAACACTTGCAATTTCACTCCCAAGGGCTGAGGAAAGGGGCCAGTGAAATTGCTCATTATTCTGCCCATTGCCGGGGGGTGGGGGGGTGGGGGGGTGGGGGGGGGGGGGGGGCGTTTCCCACTGAAAATTCT